TCCCTTTCAACGTCAAAGAGGTGAGGATGTGTGACTGGTGGTGACGGCGTGTGACGACATGTGTGTGTGTACGTGTGTGCGTGACAAGTGTGATGTGTGTGACGTGTGTGTGTGTGACGGTGTGTGTGTGACATGTGTGACGTGTGTGTGTGTGACGTGTGTGTGGACTGTGTGAGTGTGTGTGTGTGTGACGTGTGGTGTGACATGTGTGACGTGTGTGTGTGTGACGACGTGTGTGTGACGGTGTGTGACGACGTGTGTGAGTGTGTGACGTGTGGACGTGTGTGAGGTGTGTGTGACGTGTGTGTGTGTGTGACGACGTGTGTGAGTGTGTGTGTGTGACGAGTGTGATGTGTGACGAGTTGTGTTGTGTTATGTGTGACGTGAGTGTGTGTGTGTGGACGACGTGTGTGATGTGTGTGACGTGTGTGTGTGTGACGACGTGTGTGATGTGTGACGACGTGTGTGATGTGTGTGTGACGTGTGTGTGTGAGCGTGTGTGACGGCGTGTGTGACGGCGTGTGTGTGTGTGTGTGTGTGACGACGTGTGTGTGTGACGTATGTGACGTGTGTGACGTGTGTGTGTGTGTGACGACGTGTGTGTGACGGTGTGTGACGACGTGTGTGTGACGTGTGTGTGTGTGACGACGTGTGTGATGTGTGACGACGTGTGTGATGTGTGTGACGTGTGTGTGTGACGTGTGTGACGGCGTGTGTGACGGCGTGTGTGACGGCGTGTGTGATGTGTGTGTGTGTGACGACGTGTGTGATGTGTGACGACGTGTGTGATGTGTGTGTGACGTGTGTGTGTGTGACGTGTGTGTGTGACTGCGTGTGTGACGGCGTGTGTGACGGCGTGTGTGATGTGTGTGTGTGTGTGACGATGTGTGTGTGACGTGTGTACGACGTGTGTGTGACGACGTGTGTGACCGGCGGTGATGGTGTGTTTGATGGAGTTAATTATGTTGATATTTGTGTGTTAATGATTTTAATGTTTGTAGATGATGTTGATGAAGGTGTCGCTTGTAATGTAGATGATGTTAAAGATAATATTGACGACGACGATGATGACGACGATGGCGATCGTGTGGTTTTGATTGCAGGATCGCATTCGCGAGTTCTTTCTGCCCCTGCACCCGGAGTCCGTGCGCATCGTCACCACCAAACATGGCTCCCGCACGGGTACTGTCCCGCACGCACCACCACCGTACACCACCACCGCACTCCACCACCGTACACCACCACCGCACTCCACCACTGCACACCACCACCGCACACCACCACCGAACTCCACCATCGAACTCCACCAACACACCTCCACCACCACACACCACCACCACCACCACACACCACCACTGCACACACTGTGCCGCATATTGTGTGCCGTGCCGGCCTTCATAGGTGCTGCTGCTGTGCGTGTGTTCAGGCTACGTGTTTGTCGATTTCAAGTCTGATGACGACCTCCGCAAGGCTCTGAAGCGCACACAGGACTACATGGGTACGCACACACGTGTACGACACTCGTGCACACGCATGTACAACACTCGTGCACACACGGTACAACACTCGTGCACACACGTGTACGACACTCGTGCACACACGTGTACAACACTTGTGCACACACGTGTACAACACTCGCCCACACACGTGTACAACACTTGTGCACACGTGTACAACTACAACAATCACACACACGTGTACAACACTCGCCCACACACGTGTACAACACTCGCCCACACGTGTACAACACTCGCGCGCACACGTGTACAACAGTCGTGCACACACGTGTACAACACTTGTGCACACGTGTACAACTAGAACACTCACACACACACGTGTACAACACTCGCACACACGTGTACAACACTCGTGCACACACATGTACAACACTCGTGCACACGTGTGTGTACGACACTCGTGCACACACGTGTACAACACTCGCACACACACGTGTACAACACTCGCGCACACACGTGTACGACACTCGTGTGCACACACGTGTAATGCGATGACGCGACCCCGTGACCCCACGATCACATGACCCCCACCCTTCCCCCAGGCGAGCGCTACATTGAGGTGGCACGCGACACGAAAGCGGGGGGCAAGCCCCCCCCACGGGTGCCCCCACCGCCCAGGGCCCCCCCGGCCCCCCGGAGGGCGTCACCCCCGCCCCCGACGTGGCCGAGACGGGGCGGCTCTTTGTGAGGAACCTGCCCTACACCTGCAGCCAGCTCCACGTGGAGCAGCTCTTCAGCAAACACGGTGGGGGGGCGGGGGGGGGACAGGTGGGGGGGGGGTTATGGGGGGGAGAGGGGCGGGGGGGGCAGTGGGGGGAAGGATGCTGCCACTGGATGTGCCGTGACCTCTCCACCCCCCCCCCGTGTTGCCCCCCCCAGGGCCCCTGTCGGAGGTTCGTTTTCCCCTGGACACGATGTCCGGCCGCCCCAAGGGCTTCGCGTTTGTTGGGTTTGCGCAGAGCGAGGACGCCGTGCGTGCCCTCGCGCTGCTCGACGGCTCCATCTTCCAGGTGCGTGGCCCCCGCGGAGACGGAGCGATGGAATGACGCACGTGTAGCGGCCAGCGTGTGTGGACTGTGTGTGTGTGGACTGTGTGTGTGTATGAACTGTGTGTGTGTACTGTGTGTGGACTGTGTGTGTGTGGACTGTGCGTGTGTGTGTCTGTGTGTGTGTGGACTGTGTGTGTGTGTGTGGACTGTGTGTGTGTGTGTGGACTGTGTGTGTGTGTGTGGACTGTGTGTGTGTGTGTGTGGACTGTGTGTGTGTGGACTGTGTGTGTGTGACTGTGTGTGTGTGTGGACTGTGGTGTGTGTGTGGACTGTGTGTGTGTGGACTGTGTGTGTGTGTGATGGTGGACTGTGTGATTGTGGACTGTGTGTGATGGTGGACTGTGTGTGTGTGGACTGTGTGTGTGTGTCTGTGTGTGGTGTGTGACTGTGTGTGGACTGTGTGTGTGTGTGTGGACTGTGTGTGTGTGTGGACTGTGTGTGTGACTGTGTGTGTGTGTGACTGTGTGTGTGTGTGGACTGTGTGTGTGTGTGCTGTGTGTGTGTGTGTGACTGTGTGTGTGTGTGGACTGTGTGTGTGTGTGACTGTGTGTGTGTGTGTGGACTGTGTGTGTGTGGACTGTGTGTGTGTGTGGACTGTGTGTGTGTGATCTGTGTGTGTGTGACTGTGTGTGTGTGTGGACTGTGTGTGTGTGTGACTGTGTGTGTGTGTGTGTGGACTGTGTGTGTGACTGTGTGTTGTGTGGACTGTGTGTGTGTGTGGACTGTGTGTGTGTGTGTGGACTGTGTGTGTGTGTGACTGTGTGTGTGGTGTGGACTGTGTGTGTGGTGTGTGGACTGTGTGTGTGTGTGACTGTGTGGTGTGTGTGGACTGTGTGTGGTGTGGACTGTGTGTGTGTGTGACTGTGTGTGTGTGTGGACTGTGTGTGTGTGTGGACTGTGTGGTGTGTGTGGACTGTGTGTGTGTGACTGTGTGTGTGTGTGGACTGTGTGTGTGTGGACTGTGTGTGTGTGGACTGCGTGTGTGGACTGTGTTGTGTGTGGACTGTGTGTGTGTGTGGACTGTGTGTGTGTGTACTGTGTGTGTGTGTGGACTGTGTGTGTGTGTGGACTGTGTGTGTGTGGACTGTGTGTGTGTGATCTGTGTGGTGTGTGACTGTGTTGTGTGTGGACTGTGTGTGACTGTGTGTGTGTGTGGACTGTGTGTTGTGGAATGTGTGTGTGTGTGTGTACTGTGTGTGTGTGTGAACTGTGCGTGTGTGTGTGTACTGTGTGTGTGTGTACTGTGTGTGTGTGTACTGTGTGTGTGTGGACTGTGCGCGTGTGAAGTGCACATAGCCTGGCACAAACGGTGACGTCTCCGCCACTTAGTGGCGAATGGTGATTGTTGTTGTTGTGCGTGAGCGGTGGTGTAGTGGTTAGTGTGCTGCACTATGAACCCGGCGATCTGAGTTCGATTCCTGCTCAGCTACCACCAACACCAGTGACGATTATCTGAACCGGTCCTGTAAACAGGCACTCGAATGAGTACCTGGTGCGGTGTGTAACCATCGCCACTAGGGATACAAAGGCGGCCGGGGGTGGTGCTGGCCACTCCACCCCCTCGTGTGCCATATCGGCCTTCATAGGTGCTGCTCGCTCACAGCACTTGCCCCAACAGCCTGTGTGGTGTCCATAACAGAGGTTTTTTGGGTTAGATCGCGTAAATATATAAATGTGTCATTAAACCCGCCACCATCCGACACAGCCAACTAGTAAGGTTGTCACGTAACAGAACGTGGCCAATTCGTCACTAGTACAGCACTAGCCGCTTGTGTGTTGGAGGCAACACAAGCTTACTGATAGTCATTTTGCTGTGACGGTTTCACCTGAAGACAGAAACTTGCGTTGCCTCCGAAACCTCGTGATTTAATTTATTTTAGTTTTTCACCTACGTGACTTTACCGAAAAAACCAAGGAGTACGAATCCCTGCAATGACGAAAACTTCCAATCTGGAATTAAATCCACAACGTTGACAATCTGTGCGGGCTCCACTCGGATCTTTGTCTTGTGATGTGCGTGGTGAATAGTGAGCGTGGTGTGTGTCTCCCAGGGTCGCATGCTGCACGTGCTGCCTGCGCTGGCGAGGAAGGAGGAGGAGGAGGAGGTGGGCCCCACCTCGTCTACCTCCTCGTACAAACGCGACAAGGAGAAGCGCGACAAAGCGAGGTGACGATGGCGTCGTCATCGCCATCATCTCTGCCATCGTCACCATCGCCATCGATGTCACAATCGTCAATCAACTAAACCTCATTGGAACCTCATTTGGCAGTAAAAAATATGATAATTGGTTTTTTACCCTTCTATCTGGCAACAAAAAAACAATTCATATTTTTTACTGGCAAATCAGGTTCCAATGGTGTAAATGCTTTTACCTCGAGCTCTCATACTCTGATGGTGCATTGTCTTTGAGTTGTGTACCTTTTGGCGTCATCTGGTCCAACCCATGTGCGACTAGGCTCTAAGGAAAGCTGTCTCGGTGTGGACCAATCAACTTCAAGGACAGTACATACATTATCAGAGTTATGTTTTTTGTTTGCATTATGACTGCAGGTATTGTGGTCTATGCAAACATGACTCCTTGTAAAAAAAGGTGTCAATTTTGTTGCCAGATAGAAGGGTAAAAATCATCAACACTCATCGGTATTTTGATCGTCGTGCTGTCGTTATCATCATCATCATCGCCATAATGAACATCATCGTTCAGTCATCGCCATCGTCATGAGCACATTGAGGAACCCGATTGCGGTGTCAGGGAAGTGATGATTTCAATGATCTCGTTGTTTGTGAAGATGCTGATGAAGGTGGTTGTGATGATGGTGACGGTGAATATTGTGATGATTGTGATGACGATGGTGATGTCCACGCGGTGGTGACGACGACAACGTTGACGAGGTGGTGGTGGTGATGATAGCGATGATGATGGCGATTCTGATGATCACGATGTTGACGAGGTAGTGACGACAATGACGACGCTGCTGACGACGGGGGTTGGTGTCCGTGTCTCTCTCAGCTCCCACAACTGGAACGCGCTGTTCCTGGGCATCAACGCAGTGGCGGACGCCATGGCCACCGCTTACGGCACCAGCAAGAGGCGCGTGCTGGACCACGTGAGTGTCTGTGTGTGTGTCAGCGTGTGTGTCAGTGTGTGTGTGCATGTGTGTCAGTGTGTCAGCGTGTGTGTGTGTCAGTGTGTGTGTCAGTGTGTGTGTGTCAGTGTGTGTCAGCATCAGTTTGTGCGTCAGTGTGTGTGTCAATGTGTGTGTGTCAGTGTGTGTGTCAGTGTGTGTCAGCATCAGTTTGTGCGTCAGTGTGTGCATCAGTGTGCGTTTGCGTCTGTGCGTCAGTGTGCGTGTCAGTGTGTGTGTGTCAGTTGTCAGCGTGCGTGTCAGCGTGTGTGTCAGCGTGTGCTTCAGTGCGTCAGTGTGTGTCAGTGTCTGCGTGTGTGTCACTGTGTGTGTGACTGCGTGTGTGTGAGCGTGTGTACCAGTGTGTGTATGTCGGCGTGTGTGTCAGCGTGTGTGTCAGTGTCGTCGTGGGTGGTGGTGTAGCAGTTAGCGCACTGCGCTACGAATCTGGCGGCCCGAGTTTTATTCCCGCTCACGGCCTACACCAGTGACGATTATCTGAACCGGTCCTGGGCCTCCCCTCGGTCGACTCAGCCTCAAAACGAGTACCTGGTGCGGTGTGTAAACATCTTAAGTCGGGAGACAAAGGCGGCCGGGCGTGGTGCTCGCCTCCCTTTTATACCCCTTGTTTGTGCGTCGTCCTTCATAGGTGCCACTCGCTAACAGCACTTGCCCCAACAGCCTGTGTAGGATATCCGGGGGGAATGTCCCTGTGTGTGTGCGTCACCGTGTGTGTGCGTCCCTGTGTGTGCGCGTCACCGTGTGTGTGCGTCCCTATGTGTGTGCGTCCCTGTGTGTGCGCGTCACCCTGTGTGTGTGCGTCACCGTGTGTGCGCGTCACCGTGTGTGCGCGTCACCGTGTGTGCGCGTCACCGTGTGTGCGCGTCACCGTTTGTGTGCGTCACCCTGTGTGTGCGCGTCACCGTGTGTGTGCGTCACCCTGTGTGTGCGCGTCACCGTGTGTGTGCGTCCCTGTGTGTGCGCTTCACCGTATGTGTGCGTCACCCTGTGTGTGCGCGTCACCGTGTGTGCGTCACCGTGTGTGTGCGTCACCGGTGTGTGCGTCACCCTGTGTGTGCGTCCCTGTGTGTGCGCTTCACCGTATGTGTGCGTCACCCTGTGTGTGCGCGTCACCGTGTGTGTGCGTCCCTGTGTGTGCGCGTCACCGTTTGTGTGCGTCACCCTGTGTGTGTGCGTCACCGTGTGTGTGCGTCACCCTGTGTGTGCGTCCCTGTGTGTGCGCTTCACCGTATGTGCACGTCACCCTGTGTGTGCGCGTCACCGTGTGTGCGCGTCCCTGTGTGTGCGCGTCACCGTTTGTGTGCGTCACCCTGTGTGTGCGTCACCCTGTGTGCGCGTCACCGTGTGTGTGCGTCCCTGTGTGTGTGCTTCACCGTATGCTCGTGGCTCCGTCTCCGTGGTCCTCTGCTCCCCGCTGGTTGCTAGGAGACGGAGGGCAGCGCGGCGGTGCGGCTGGCGCTGGGGGAGGCGGAGATCGTCACGGAGACGCGGCGCTTCCTCGAGGAGGCCGGAGTCCAGCTCAACACGTTCGGCCAGGTGAGGGCCCCACAGGGCCACCGTGAACCCACCAACACCGCACACACCGCACACACCACACACACCACCCACACCGCCCACACCGCACACACCGCACACAACATACACACCATACACACCGCACACACCACCCACTCCACACACCACCCACTCCACACACACCACACCACCCCCACTACTCACACCACCCACCCCACCCCACCACACCACACCCACCACCCACACCGCTCACACCCCCACACTACTCACACCACCACACCACCCCACTC